GGGTGGTTTGGAGGCGTGGAAAGGGAAAAAGGAGGTGGCGAGGGGGGAGGGATATTGAAAGTGAGGGGCACCGAGTGTTCCTTATTTTGTTCTTCCGAAATGGGGCTCCAATTTGGGAGCTGGTTAGGGCGCTGGACCAGACCAGCGGGGTCAAAGTGGTTTCCTGTGTGGAAAGGGAGTGGCGGACCCGAGTTTGATTCCCGCCAATTTTGCCACAACAATCCTGTTCCCGGCCGGCAGTTACCTCACCCTACCCGCAAATTGACAGGAAATTAAAATTGATCGTACACACCCCGTCCCATTCACCCTTCCTTCTACGTAGCTGCACTCCACTTCAGCAGCTATCTCTGGCGCATTGCGGCATAGGGCCCGAGGGGGCCTCAGCACTGGCGGATAGCTTCCGACCCGATCCCAATCCACTGCTGGCGGAGCTGCAACCCAAGTGAGTGCGTGAGTGGTACTGGTAGTGGTGGTGGTGGTAGTGGTAGTGGTGGTGGTGGTGGTAGTGGTGGTGGTGGTGGTGGTGGTAGTGGTGGTGGGGTGGTGGTGGGAAGACGGGGGTCAACCTTCAAAAGGTACAGTCGGCTCCCTCGCCCATCGCACTTGGCGTAAAAAACTCCGCTATGGCGCTGCACGGCAAGCTTGATGACGGATGGTGGGCGGCTATGGTATTCCGGTTCCTAGCAGCTGTGAAGTGTAATGTTTGGAGCGGCGGCATGCCGCCCATCCTGTTAGTTAGTGCCGGATGATGATAAGGTCGATTGGCTTGCAAGCAGGCCGATTCCGGAGGGCCCGGTCTTCTCCGGCTTGAGGCGGCAGCTTATGGCCGCCCATAGGGGCTCACACGAGGCTGAGCACGTGTCCATCGGATTACATAGGTGCATCGAAATACCCGTCGGATAATCGGAAGGGAGCAGAGGTGGGCATGATGGCGAAAAATACGCGCATCGGATGCATGGATTGCCGCTTGGAAAATCGGCTGGGTTGCTACCTGGTGGCTTCCGCATGTATCCGGCTAGAGCTCATCCCAGCTGATGTGCCTAGCGCTCTTTGATATGAAGTCGATTATGGTGGACAGCGGGCAAACAGAACTGGCCCACCTGGTACACATAGCATTTGGCTTACGCGCTCGTCTCTACGCAGGCGGTCATAGTTGACTAGTGTCCGTGTTTCTTTTGTGTGTATTGCTTGGGAACTAGATTACACATTTGCGTTGTACAATGTCCTCAATCTAACTTGTGGCTCTTAGGAGGCTTGTGGGCTTCTGCTGGCTCGTGTATGGGCACTCGTTACACCTCTCTATTTGGGTAACGGGTAACGCAACCGGTGTGTAATAAGTACACACATTAGTCGTAATGATGGGGAGGTAGTGAAAGCTGGAGAGAGCGCATTTTGTGTGTGTATGTGTCGGGAGGTGGGGAAGAGGGGGATTAGAGGTGGGGCAGGAAAGGAGGGAGGGAGGGAGGAGCCACTGAGGTGGGGTTGGGTGGGGTATACGCTACTATGGTCAATACTCTCTGCTCTATCTACGTGATTTTAAGCAAGTAAGGCGCAAGCTTCTGGACCTTGCTGCATCACCATGTCTTCCCCCCCCCTCCCAGCCACACGTATGCATACCTCCGTGTCGGGCCCCCTCACACTTCTCCCCTCTCGCCCCTCTCGCCGCCAACCGGCAACCCTCCAGACTTAAAGTTCTGAACTTGGGTCACAACCCGCTGTGTGCGGCTGGGCTGACGGTGCTGGCGGGGTCGCTAGCGCACATGGCGTCTCTGAAGGTAAGGGGGAGGGGGAGTGGGAGGGGGAGGGGGAGGGGCGGGCTGACCCTCGTCGCAATGACCCCGGACAATCCGACTACCCCAGTCACCTAATTGGGAGGGACATGCGCCTACAGCCGTAGACAGACAAGAACAAATGAATCTGGCGGTCCATAGACTGATCTGGAACCTCTATCCCACCCTCCAACCCCAACCCCCATAACTGTGTGCGTGTGTGTATGTGTCCCTGCTCCAGGTGCTCCACGTTCCTAATGTGGACGTGGTTTCGGAGCCCCCCGACCTGGAGGCTCTCCAGGCGCTGGTGGGCTGTCTCACCGCCAACATCAGCATCGACCAAGTGGATCTGGATGGAAACCATTTCGGTGGGCGTGCTCGGGATTTTGGGGTCGTGTGAGGACACGGGGTGTATGTGTGTGTCGGGGTTGCGGTGTGTGTGTAGTGGGGGGGGAAAGGGGATGTGTGTGGGGGGGATAAGGGGGGAAAAGGGGGGCTTATGGCGGTGGATTCGGAAAAGGGAATTCGACATCCCCGACTCGAACCGGCGGTCAGCCCGACAGTTAGCGGCCCAAGGGGGTGATCCCGCGGGTAGAGGTTGCAGCCTAGCTGGGTGTGAGCGCGGGAGGAGGGGTTTTCGGGTTTGGGGAGGTGATATCGGGCGGGGGGGAGAAGATCGAAACCAATCAACGTAACCTCCTGAGGCGGCATTACCCAGACTCGTAATGCTCGCGAGCCTGGGTAATGGAGCTGGGAAGAGCGATTACGTAAGGAGTAGGAGGTGGTGTGTGTGCGTGTATGTGTGTGCTTGTTCGAACCGTCTGTATCGAACCCCTCACGTAACAGCCCGCGCCCCCCGGAAACTTTTTTCCGTTAACCCCCCAGCCCTCCGCCTTGTCCCGTTTTTTCCCCTTAGCCACGTTGCCACACTCACCGCACTCACTCCCCCTTGCTGACTGACGGGCTGACTGACGGGCTGACTGACGGGCTGGCTGACGGGCTGGCTGACTGACGGGCTGACTGACGGGCTGACTGACGGGCTCCCCCCCCTGGTTCTCTTCGCAGGTGACGTGGGCGCCCGGGCGCTGCTGCCCTTCCTTCAGGAGCAGAAGCACATCCGCAAGTTCCGCATCACTCCGCGACTAACGAGGGAGACCATGGCTGCGGTGCAGGAGGCGGTGCGGGCCAACCTGCCCAAGAAGAAGAAGAAGGCGGTGCGGAAGAAGAAGCCAGCGGCCAAGAAGTTTTAAGTGGCGCACGGGGGAAGCTGGAGTCGGTCTTGCATGGGGAGAGAGAGAGGTCGCACACCGCAAAGGGCGTGTGAAAGGGGAGGGCGTGCGGGGCGATGAGCCGGGTCGGGGTAGGTTGTTTTGCACAAAAAGAAGGGAAGGGAAACGAAGCGTAGATGCAGGGTGCCTGCTTGCCCCTCCCTATCTGGCCGTGTGGGGGTGGTTGGCAGGACGGGGGGACGAGAGGAGTGGTGGGGAGAGGAAGCGGGTGTCGAAAGGCTGTGTTGCTCCTCCGAAAACACCCTTTTTCCCTCGCAGCGTTTGGAGGTGCACTGTTACGACAGGTTCGTTGGTGGGTGGTTACATCGGGGTTGGTTAACTGCGATAGGCCTTGAGCTGGAGGCTGTGTCGTTTCGTGTATTTTAGCAGTGCTATGAAGACATCAAGCATCGGTGTGGTAGCAGTTGGTAAGTGTTCAGGTGTTTAGCTGTGCCGGACTGTGCGTTCTGTTTGTGTTTTTGGAGTGACAACGTAGCTGAGATGACATCATTCTTTGAACCTTTCCAGACAGGAAAACTAGGGAAGAGCTGGGGGGAGATGTACTGATTTGTACTGGACAGATAGGCAGGGATTAGCGGAATGTGTTACCGGCATAATTATTAGCGGCTTCTCAGGTTAGGGGATAGGGAATAGGAGGAACTGTGTGTGCCATCTATGCGCGCGCGTTGTCCTGACAAATACGTCGATCCAGACATGGCATGCCGGCGTCTGCGCAGATGTGATTGGGCTCCGCTGAAATGGTACGGCGGTGGCCACATAGCAATCAGCTGGGGCGTTGAGGGAGGGCAGGAGGCGGTCGTGGCCCGGCTGTATCGCGGCCCTTACTGGCCGAGCAGGAAGAATCGCTTTTGTCAAAATTACGCGTAGTGGAGCTAGTAGATGTAGCGGATGTAGGTCTGGTGCTTATTCAGGACCCTGAGGGGCGCTGCGCAATGCAGCGTGGCGGGGTGTTGAGCCGCGGTAGCTGCTACTGCGGCTACTGCTGCTTGTGCTGGTCGCCGGGGAGGGGGAAATGGTTTGAAGCTTGCACCAGTGCATCAACTGTTAGGTGATGGGAAAGAAAGGTAAAGCTATGCTGCTGGTACCGATGAATGCCACGGTGCATGGCTTAAGCCCAAACCTTGTCCTTCTTTGAATGCGGCCCTGCCGATGATGCGTATGACCTTGCAATTCTGCGTTGAGGAAGACGTATGTTGTGTATGCGCTTCAGAAAGACAGGCAACGTGCGCGTACAAACCACTGGGGGGAACCTGGAAGAGGGGTGGGCTAAAGCAGAGGATTGGCCCTCTCAAGAACCACAATGCGTGGGTGAAAACAGTTTGACGAGAGATAACTTGGCGAAAGGGTGGGATGGAAACCTGACATCCAGGATCTTGTTTGACATTATGAGCTTTCACGGCGCCTGGTGACTTAAACCAGCAAGAGTTGTAGGCGGGAGTGCAAGCTGCGCGCGCTACCAAGGCCCTACGGTAGTGACCTATTACTGCATGTGTGCGGCACTTGGCCTATGGACCCGTCACATCACAGCACACGAGAAGACCAGTCTAGGTAGAGAGTGTGCTCCTTGGCGAGGGGTGCGCAGCGCGCGCGGGGAAAGGAGTACGGGGCTGGAAACACGCGTGTATAATACCCCTCGGGCAGGGTGAGCACACAGAGGTTTCAGTAAGATAGGGTGACTCTACCACAAAGGTTAACATGAAGCGCTGCCTTGCATTCGGGTTCTCGTCGATCGTGGTACATCGGACCGTGGAAGAAACATTACTTGTCACGCATCGATGGCAGGAATCGCGACAAGCACTATAACCTGTACCCCAAGATAAAGCATGTACATAAAGTGTTAAAACTGGATGCGCACTGCAGGGTTGACAACAGTATCAGCCACCCTGGACCTTAACGTACAAATTACTTACTCTGTCTGCAACTCTCCCTTAACTTGCCGTGCACTGAATAGGTGTAGTTGGGGCGGTATCTTTCTGGTTTGAGGTTACTGTGCAGCTTGAGGAGTTGTGTCCTGGACGGTACATTCCTACGCTAAGTTTCGGCAAAAGGATGCTGCGTCAGTCCGGCCTCGCGGCCAACCGCTTGCTCTGTGGCAGCGGCCTGGTACAGGTGCGGAATGAGTTGATTTTGCCCTAGTTTCGGGACGGAGGGCTTGACTCCCCACGTCGTTGTGCAGAGCTGCAACAACCAAGGTGCTGGCAGCAGCAAGCTGCTATGGAACGCGATGCTCTTCTCGTCAAAGGCGGAGGGTGCAGCGGCTCAGGTATTTCCTTGGGCGACAAACGGTTCCGGCGTACTGATGGTCACTGTTTCGCTAACGGTGCTACTTGTGGGTGCCGATGTGCTTCTTTATGCCTGCAGCAGGTTGCAGTTTCTGAGGGTGTTGCGCAGGTATGGGGCTGGATGTTTGTCGATGGGTATTCTTTGGCCCGCAAGGGGTGAAAACTTTTATTAGCCATAAACTGCCATGTGTGCAGACCATTCCTCAGTACTCCAGTGAGGCTGCGGCTGCTCTGGCCGCTAAGCGGAAGGGCCTGATTGGAAGTAAGTCGGGGTTCATGAGTAGGGAGCTTGTCACTACAGCATCCTGCAACCCTGGAGCTGGATTGTGTTGCAGGCGGCATTTCCCTAAAACCAAGCAAGCCGTTTAGCGTGCGCGGCCTCGCCACTAGTAGCCCTGCATCGGCAGCCTCGACCGCGGCGCCAGCGGCAGCGGCACAGCAGCCAACTGATAAGTATACTGCCCTGAAGAAATTGCTGAAGGTGCGCATCGTGGGAATAATGGATCGGGCGTTCTCAGCCTGACGGGGGAAGTCGCTTCAAAAAGTTGCCGTACGCTTTGCTTCCCCTATGTGTGTAGTGTGGGGTAATGTGGGTGGGTGGGTGGTGTGATGGGAACAGAGCAACGACAGGTTCCGGTCATGCTGTGTGTGATTTTCTTAGCACAAGCTATTGCGAAAGGTGCACATAACCGTACACATTGCTGTAAGTATTCCTGCCAGGAGCCGTTGTTCCTGCGTCCTGTGCCCAACGTTTTTTCCCTTCCGTCGAACACAGCTTGCGGCGGCCATGGTGGCAGCTATGGGCTTGACGGCCACCACCGCGGCCGCGGACTCCCCCGACTACTGGCAGCTGGGCTTCCAGGACACCGCCACCAGCACGGCCCAGGTGGGGCATCGGCTGTAAATTCGGGCAAGGGCCCTGCAGCTTGAAGCTCTTAGTAATGCTACCATGGCATTCAGGCAGGGCGTGGAACGTCCACAACGGGTTAGTTCTAATTCAGCAGCCACAGGTATTACTTCTGGTGCTATATCTGGAGCTATGGGTGGTACGCCGTGTGTGCTTGCGCTCTCGGGCCGAGGAGGCTATGAGGCTAAGCGGGTAGAGTGCGGGAAGAGGTGGCATCATTGCTGCATGTGCAATAGCACCTTTATGAAGGATTACGCCAAAAGTACCGCGCAGCAGGGCCTTGCCGACATGGTATGCTGGTCACCAGGCAAGGGGAAACCACTGACCGGAGTTGGGTTCAGCACTGTATGGGCGCCGCGGCATCATCAAGTTACATGGCGGTTGCGGTGTGGTCCTGCCGGTGGATTTACCCAAACATCATTACACCCTAGCCACAGTTGGGCGCGATGGAGATTGGAGCAGTGTGAATGTTAGGGGTGGACGGAGAGGCAGCTAGTTGGCGGTTTGTACCGGTAGCGCCAGGCACGTTGATGCGGCCTGGTCGGGTTTACGAGATCACATGCCGCCTTCAGGGAAGCTGCCACCGTGCCGCTTCCTGGCGCGTTTTTATATTATCTATGCAACTCTGCAGTAGCATGCTTGGGGGCGAGTTGGAATGGATAACGGAAACTGCTGCATGTCCTGAAGCAAGGACTCCTGCCTGAGCCATCTCTCCCCAGATGTCCTCTTTTGTTCTGTGATTTTCGCCAGTGATTGTTTCCATCCCCGTCCCACAATCCCTGGTATCTTGCCTTTGCTTTACTGTTCCATCGCATTTGGATTAATTCCGGTTATTCCACACTACCCATCCCCACAGGCCATGGTGGATTTGCACCACGACATCACTTTCTTTCTCATCACCACCATCACCCTGGTCTTCTACATGATGTTCCAGGTGGGGATGAGGATATGGGGGTAGAACTCGGTCGGCAAAGCGCGTGTGTCGTATGTGAAACAGTGGGGTTGCGGGATTGGAGCCCTGGGCATTCCACAGGGCTCGGTGGAAAAAGGATATACCGCTCAGCAGCGCACTTGGGGCGCTGGGGCCCCCGCTCAGGATGTCCAAGGCAAAGGCAGAGGCCTGCGCGCTGACCCCGCTGTCACGCTGTTCTTAGGCCCATTTTGCGTAGGGGCTGTTCCTCACCATCGTCTGCCTTTCCCCGTGTTGTTATGGCATGTGGGTTATGATCCCCGTGGGTGGCACCCATATTGCTTAGGGCCTTACTTAACGGCGTTGGTGGTATTCCAGTTGAGGGGCGCTCGCGTCCTCTGGGTCTGTAGCAGCAGCTGCGAAGGGCGCGTGGTAGATCTTGACACCTCTGGGTCTTCATGTGGATGTGCAGCTGTGCGGATAGGGGGATGGTATGGGGCTGGGGCCCTGGTGTTGCGAAGCGTGATGCCTTTGTGCAGTTATGGACAGTACATGGGGGCCGACACTTGGGGACTACATAACTTGATGCCCGGACTCGCTGGGGTCGAGTGGCCACTTGAGACGTGCACCACACATCCTCAATGCCGCTCAGATGGAGCCTGTCGATTGCCAATACGATGCTGCGTAGATTGTGACCAAGTTCCACTACACGCGGGTGCTGCGGCCTGAGAAGCTGACTCACCACACCGCCATCGAGGTGATTTGGACTGTCATCCCTACTCTTATTGTGGTTCTCATCGCCATCCCTTCGCTTACGCTCATCTACTCGCTTGACCAGCACACTGAGAGGCCAGGTGGGTGGATGGGTATTGTCTGGGTGCCTGGGGGGGGTGGACGGAGATTGTACTGAGGCGGGACCATATCGGGGAGATGCTCACCAGGCATTTGCAGAGGCCATTGGCCTGTTGGCCTCTTGAGATTTACTATGTAGGGTGCTGGGGCGGGGGCGGTTTATATATTAGGAATTGGGCGCGTGTCGTGCATAATGTTTGGGCTTGGGCCGTGTTTCATGTGCTTTTTTTCGCGTGTCGTGCATGGTACGTTCACGTCGAACATGCCGATCTTGGCTGCTTGTCGGTTGCGTCCCGCCAGGTCTGACTGTCAAAATTATCGGTCGCCAGTGGTACTGGAGCTACGAGATGCACGACCATCTGCAGCACAAGCTGCTGGACCCTGACCGCCTTGTGGGCATCGCTGAGAAGGCGTTCGCGAAGTAGGAGGGTTGCTGGCGGTGCTCGATTAGTTTTGAGGGAGGACAGGTACTGCGGCGTGGGGTTATTGCGCGCTGATGCCCCTGTGCTGTACGTTCTGCGGTTTAAGGCTGGCGACTGCTTTCCTTTGACTTGAATCGGTTGTTGCTGTGGCGCCGGCGATGCCTTATCTTGGGCTCGCTGTGCGGGGCTTATTGGCGCATGGGGAAAGGTGCGCTCCCGGAAGGTGTGCGATGTCGTCATTTAGCTCTTTGGCTTAACAACTTGGGAACCTGATACAGAGACATGCGCTCCCTAAGCTTGAGAAATGGGGTTCTCATCAGTAGGCTTCGGTCGTCGTTGTGCATTGTTAACACTAGGTTAAAAGTGTCGGAGCGTGCGTGCTTTGCCAATGGACTTGTTTTCTTTAAATGATTGTATATATTACCCTTGTAAGGCTGTAAGGTTGTCTAAAAACGATTGTTATACCTAAATGCTCGTCCAGCCATGAATCAGGTGGATCCCCATTGCATCCGGCCCGCATGGCCTACTCGCATTTATCACATGCACGGATTGCACGGGAGTCCTTCACTTTTGGGGAGATGAATCCTAAGTTTAGGGCATCTGCACTTCCGTAGGAAAGGATTACCAAATTCCAAACTTCCGATGCAACCAACAAGCTTCCTGACCAGCCAATTCTGCAGCCGCCGACAAGCGGCGCCGTCAACATGAAATTCTATTGATGCTACTGATGCTTTCATATGGTTAACTGATATCTCTTGTGCTTGGGCTGTTGCTATTACTCGATTATTGAGTTAGCCAAGAGACGCGCTGCCCCTTGCGTTGTCCTCCAAAGGGGATTGCTATTCCATTATTATTCGAGAGGTCTACAGCATTTGCAAATGCCTGAGCTCACACATTTTCGTCTTCCGGACTTCTCACATGGCATCCTTTACTGCATCGCTTCGTTAGTTTTAGGCATAGAGTTAAACATTGTTGGCCCCACAGCTGACAGCTTAGCGGCGCAAGTGGGAGTCACTGAGGCTGCGCTTGGGGGAGGTACGTCTATGCATCGCGTCAATTGCGACGGCTGCAGTTCCCCCCTGGTCAAACGGTTCCAGGAGCACGTTGCAAGCCTTGGAATCCTTCCAATGCTTCGACCGCATCTGTTATTATTGCTTATCTGGTATTTTAAATTACCGTGTGAAAATCGCACCTCGCATGCGACTCGTCAACCGGTACCGTTACAACAGCGCATAACCTCCAACCTCCCGTACGCCGACCTTCATTTCCAATCGAAATACCCAATTCATCTTCAAACAGTTGTGGGCCTTGGCGGGATCGGTCTCCTAGTTGGCGGTCTCCCTTCCGGCTGGCTCCTGGATAGACTGCCGGGGCACGCAGTCTTGACCGGTGCTTTAGCCCTTCAGGTATGCGGCTTAGGGTTTTCAACCAGAACCCCATGGCTACGAAACGATCCTCCATATATTTGACCTGAAACCCTCAAAGAAAGCAATTGCACGTTTGTAGTTTCGGCGCTGCAGCTTGTAGGCCGCAGCAGCCGTGCAGCCCTAAGCCTGATGACCCTCTGGCGGGATGTCGGGGCCGTACCTATATAATCCTCACAGCTCTCTCTCCTCCTCCATCTCCTCCCCCCCTTGCCAGCCCCCACCAGACTTAGACCCATATCACGCATCTTCCCATCCACTTCCTGCGCGGGGGGAAACACCCCTACACCCCTACACCCCTACACACACACACCCACACACACATCTCCAACGCCGCGTGTCCCCGCGCGCCAAAAACCCACTTCACCTTGTTCAGGCCGCCGCCTTCCTCCTGCTGCCGCACTGCGCCCACCTTGTGGTCCTTGCGGCCACCTACTGCGCCGCGGCCCTGACCTTCAACGCCATTACCACAGGTGAGGCGGGGTCGAGGGCCCGTCGGCACCGCGGCCCACTCCCCCCACACTTCAATCGCGTGTGGTTCGTCTTTCCCCCACATCCCTCCTACCAACACACAACTTTCCATCGCATGCCATGCTAGGCCGACTGACAACCCATTTTCCCCCAGACCTAAGCCATCTTACGAAGAGGCGACCCCTTCTACCCCCCACCTTCTTGAAGCTGCGGCGAGGGCAGCCACCATGCGCGCCTCTAAGTCCCGAAAATCACGATTCCCCTTCGTATATATGTGTGGATATGTGTATGTACGTATGTATGTATGTACGTATCGCCTGGGTTTGGCGAAACCTTCAATGCTTTCCCTTCTCCCTTCCCCCCAAACCGTCACTACATCATCCCGAGGTCGCCGCCTTCAAGAACGCCTTTTGGTCAGTTCTCCTTCTTGTACACTCTTTCCTTGGCAGCATCTTCACTCGTTCGTGGTTCGTCTTTCCCCCCCAACCCTCTCCCGCACCTGCCAGGTGCCAATGCGCTCATCCTGTGGCGCTACCCCGCCTCCCAGGGCGCCTGGCTCAACCTGGCCTCCGCGCTGTTCGGAGTGGGTTGCTTCCTGGCGCCTGTGCTGGCGGACCTGGCCAGCAGGGCCGGGGGAGGGGGAGGGGGTGAAGGAGGCGGGGGTGGGGCCGAGCCGGGAGGTGGAGTGGGAGAGGGAGCGGCGCGGAGTGCGCCCTTCTCACTGCGCGGAGGACCCGCGGCGCTGGCGTACTACCTTGTGGCTGCAGGTGCGGTGACTTACGTGGCTGTGAGGAGGGCGCGGGTGGGTGGGGGTGTGGAGGTGGGTGTGAGGATGGGGCGAGGTCTTGTGACCTGAGCTTCACATCTCCTCCCGTGCCCTGTCTCTCCCCAGTCCCGTGCTTGCTGCTGTCTCCCACAGATGGGGTAAGTGCCCAGGGCCAAAACTGCAGTCCCTATCTATCACGGGCGCTCTTGTTGAGCTTATCCAACAAGATGACCCCACCCTCCCCAAAGGGGCCCCCACACCCCCCAACATCCCCGCCTCACCACCCTCACCACCGCCACCCGGCCTGCAGGTGCCGCCGCCTGCTGCATCTGGGCCGCAATCCTGCCCAGCCCGGCACGACCCGACCACCACCACCACCACCACCACCACCATCGGGAAGCACCAGACGAGGGCGCTGCTGTGGGTGGCAGTGATGAGTACGGTAATGGCAACGGCAGCTGCGAGTATTCTTCCCACATTCCCGGCCCCGTTCCCGCTCCGCGGACGAAGAGCCAGCAGCGGGGAGTGGCAGTAGCAGTAGCGGTAGCAATGGAGTTTGGCAGCGGCGGCAGCGGCTCCACGGCTTTCCTCAGCTCCCCCTCCTTCGCGTCGGTATTGGACCTGGGGTATGTATATCCCGATATTTCCCGGGCCCTTTTGGGGGATGGAGGGGGCCGACAGAAGGGGGCCCTGCCGGGTTTGTCAGCGGTGAGAAGGCTTTTCTTGGTTCACCAGAGCTGTCGTTCTACCACTACTACTGTCACTACGACCACTATTTGTACCACTAATACTAATGGCAGCGAACTGTTGTTTGCTTCCAGCTTAAGATTATGGAACAGTGCACGACAACGGAGGACTTTGGCTTTGGGCTTGAGGCTTCGTTGGGATATGTGCTGGGAGGCTGTTTGACCAGGGCTGCGGCACATAGCTGGCAGCTTGGGAGATGCATTTGGTCTAGCACGCCCTCGCGCGACACGAAAATCTTCGTGTTATCCCTAGTTGGGGATTTGTTGCTAAAGAAATAACTAATTGTATTATGGATTCCGGAGGGCCACGAGGCCATTTGCCGCATGTCCTTAATATTGTAGCTAAAAGGCAACATGCCAAAGGTTGGGCTCCTCATCTCCATGAAGGTGGGAAAACCGCGGCACTTCCGAGATACCCCTGCAAGGCCACCTGGCCTGACCGCCTTTGCCCTGCACTGACGTCTGCATCTGGACCACGCCCTGGCTTGTGCCCTTGTCGTACCTGTCGCGCGTGTCGTACAGCGGGCTTGACTCGCCGGCCGCATCAGCGGCCAGCCAACGACTTATTGCCTCGGAGGGTAGCGGCTCCGACGGCGCTGCTGGGGCAGCGGCGGAGGTGGGACCCGCGGCTGCGGCGCCGTCGGCGGTGACGGTGGAAGTGACGGAGAGCGATGCTGCTTGGGGTACCTCCAGTACGACCAGTCCGAACGATGCCGCCGCCAGCGCGGCCGCCAGTCCCAAGGCGCCGCTGCCGCCGTCACCGCCGCCGACAACGACGGCGCTCTCAGCTGGCGCCGAAGGCAACCCAGCCGTTGTGCTCGGTCCGCTGATTGCGACGTCCGCAAAGCTGCCTTTGCCGTTGATATTGATGTGCAACGGTGGCGGCGGCGGTGGCGGTGGTGGCGGCGGCGGTTCCGCCAGCGGTACCGATTGCGGGTTTGGAAGTGCACTGTCCACATCTCCGTCCACATGGGACGAGACAGGCTCCGGATTTCTGGACCAGAACTATCGTACACAGGGCGAGATGACCCAATTCCCCGGTGTCGCGACGGCCCCCGGCAACCCCAGTGCCCCAATGCCACTCGGTGCGGCCTCGGAAATGCTATCCGCTGCGGCGGCACAAATCGCACAGCTTCAACGGCAGCAGCACAACTCCAGTCAGCAGCGGCTGCGGCGGCTGCGGAAAGAAGAGGATGTGGCGGCGGTGGTGCCGGCGGCGCCAGCGAGCTTGTGCCGCGGCCCACGGGTCGCGGTGGGGGAGGGCGATGGGGAGCAGGGGATTGGCAGACAGGTCGGGAGTGTTGGGGGCGCGGCGCCAGCCCTGACGGCGCCGCCGCCGCCGCCGCCGCAGATGTCGCCGACGGCGGCCCTGTTCCGTCGGTACCTTCACGAGTTGCGAATGGGCTGGCCGGTGTTGCTTCCCGTGGTAGTCCTGCTGTTCGCCAACATCTCCACCCAGGTGAGGTGAGGGGCCCTCTTCAAACGTCGGTCAGCTGGCGCCATAAAGCGTAGCGTACTGCCAGGCGTGATACGATGATCGAGCCGTTCGAAGCGCGTACACACACACACGAACACAGACACGTACCCATGCACACATATATAAGTTTAGGTACCTGAAGAACATTGCCATAAACAACGAGTATGCGCACGAGCAACACACACACGCGCGCGAGAGAGAGAGTGGTCGTAAGGGGCATCCGGAGCCGATCGCTGCAGCGCCCAACCGTACCAACCTAATACGCCGCCATCATCACCAATCCGCCGGTACCAAACCAGTGGGCGGGGGGACCCTCGCTGCCTCTCTCATGGAGCCATAGACTTAGGATTGTATATAATGGACGCCATCCACATCAACTTTCCGATCACCTGCGAAGGGCGACGCCTGTTGACACCAGGGCAGCCAGACTCCCCCTCTCCGTGGCAACCTCAAAACACGTTCTGTGGCGCCAGCCGTCCAGCCGTCCAGCCGTCCAACCTCAAACCATGTCCGCCACATCTTCAGCTCGTGATCTCCTTCAGCCGGTGGTGGTGAAACTAAAATACCTCGCTCTCACACACAACACACAGAGACACATGAACCCTTCTCTCTGTCTCTCTTGTTCACAGCCCCTCCCCACCTCCTCCTCCCCACCAAACCCCGCCAAGGCCTCCTTCGGCGCCTGGGTGACCACCTACTGCCAGCGGGCTGTGGGTTTGGATGAGGCGGCGGCACACGCCGTGACTGCAGCGTACTGGGCGGCCTTCACGGGTACCCGCATGGCGGCGGTGGCGGCGGCGCCGTTCCTGCACGCCTCCCGTGTGCTGCTGGTGACGAGTCCCTTTGCGGTGGCTGGGGCGGGCATGGCGGTGCTGGGGCTGCCGAAGGTGCGGTGGACTTATGTGGATGCGTTCGAGGATGTGTGTGTGTGTGTAATTGTTGTTGTTGTTGTTGTTCCAAGCAAATCCCCGCTCGCCAGAAAGTGAGAAAGGCGCAACCTGCAGATCCTCTCCCCTCACCACATGTGTGCCATCTGTCTTGTCCCCCGGATCGCGACGCCGTCCCGCGACCACCCCGCAACAGGTCCCCGGCCTGTTCCCACCTGCTTCTGCTCCGGCGGCCGCCGCCGCTGCTGCCGGCGGAGGCGCCGCCGCCTTCGCCGCCTGCCTGCCGCTGTGGGCCCTCTACACCGCCGTCTGCCTCGTGGGTGTGGGGGTGTCCACGGGTTTCGCCAACACAGTCAGTCTCACGGGGGACCACCTGCAGCTAGACGGTTTCACCAACGGCATCCTAAGTTCCGTCGCCGGGCTGGCCTCGACGTTGTGCCCCGCCGCCGTACCCTGGCTGGCCGAGCATACGCAGTTAGGGTACGGCGCCCTAATGGCTGTCGCGCTAGCCATGTCAATTGTGCAGCTGGCGATGGTGGTGGCTGCGCTGTTTGGAGCTAGGTGGGTGGATGAGTGGCAACGACAGGAGGAGGAAGAGGAGAAGGAAGAAGGAGATGCGGCCCAGGCGTGGCGAAGGGGAGAAGGGGCGAGGAGGAGGAGGAGGAGGGGAGGTGGTGGGAGTAGTGTGCGGCGGACGGGGCGTGCGGGGCCCGAATGCGAGCCGGGGTTGGCGGTGGCGGTTGTGGTGGCGTTGGAGGGACGTGAGGCCTCCGAGGGAAGGGGGGAGGGCTACTACTGTAAGCGCGGTGCGGCCGGCGGACAGGGCGGCGGCGATCTGACGGCGCCGTTGCTGCCGCCTAATGGGCCGCCGGGTGGCGAGTGACGGTTCCGAACGAGGCGCGAGGTGGGGCCCCGCCCGCCTCTCGCATTGTCGCATGGAACTGGGTTACTGAAGATAGGAGAGAAATCCGTGGGTGTGCGGGTGGGTGGGTGGGTACGGGACTGCAGCCACACGGCTGCAACTCCCACCACCTTACCAGTGGCCAGCAGCTGTCTCCAACCTGACGACGTTCTTTCCTCTGCTGCTGCGACTACTGCTGCTGCTACTGCTGCTACAATACGGAGCGCAGCCAAAATACAGTCGGGTCGGTGGCCATTGCCAGCGCTTCGTGTCGGGGCTTCCAGGCACGCTTGGCACATGAGAACGGACGTACGTAGCAGGAGATGGAGGGGGGCCTGGTGCGGCCCGCTGCGGTAAAGGCCGCGGAAGTACCGACCGGGACCAAGGGAGGGGGAAAACGCGGAAAGGGAAGAGGGGAAGAGCGCGAACACTTGGAAGCGGTGGGGCTGCGTGCGTGTGTGTGACGGTGCGTGCGTGAAGGTGTGTGTGCGTGTGGGAGGTTGCAATGCTAGCAAGGCGTCTCTCGTCGCTCACCACCGTTTGCAACTTGCAACTTGCTTGACGTTTTGACCCATCGGGCTGCCGCGATTGCCCTTCCTGTCGGTGCACTTGCGACACGACACGTGCGAAAGTAGTTTTAATGATACGTCGCACAGGTAGGGCATAACCCCCACCACGTCCGGCGATCAACGTGCGAGTCGTGCACTTCCCCTTATGTCCGTACACGTGCACGAGATATACATGTCCGACATGTGTGTGTTTTACACACGTTTTTACAAGTCTTTCGTTACTGAAGGTGTTTGGTTGAACTTCCATGGCTTTTCGATGACCGTATGGCCAACTGCGCCTACGAGTCGCTTAGGGAACCGATGAGGCCTGCCGAGTATATTCAGTAGAGGCGCTGGCTGAAGGCAAGACGGGACTCTGACTGGTGAGAAGAATCCGGAATAGGAACGCGAAGGACCCGCCTGGCGCCTCCTGGCCGACCTGGCGAAGCTAATCCGGTGATGTGCCAGGAAGAGGCTGCGTGGCTTTAACGCGCTTTCACAACAGCGGGGTTCGGACCACAGAGACCGGCTCTGTGATATCAGAGGGAGTTAGGGGAAGTAAAATCCACGATGGTTGGTTTCGGCGCTGGGAAGTCAGATTGAGTCGGACAACCGTTGGCGACTCCCTCTTAACGCCGCCCGCCATCCCGGGAGTCAGCTTGGAAGGTTCGAGCGGTTCTGTGCAGAAACAACTAGAACAACTGTACCGTACGGCCGTGCAGCTTGGGCTTGGGCTTCGACGGCTGTGCCGCATGAAAAGAAAATTACTGGATGTATATGAACTTTCCGTAAACTCCAAAAGTTACGGCCATCCTAACACCGCCTCAGCACCCGAGGACTCCTGCCCTATAACCCCCAACAAACGCCCTAACCCCCCTCCCAAGCAAAAGCACTGCAAACACTCCCACCACTGTGCTTGCCCCCAACCTCCCGCTCCGCGGCGCTCACCCATCAATACCGGGATCACCCGCTCTCCCAGCTGCACCCCCCTCCGCTGCCATGCAAGCTGCTCGCCGCGGCGCTGCTCTACACCAGCTATAAAAGCCCTGACCTTGAAAGGCACTTTCAAATTACAAAGCCCACACACACAACTGTGCTTACGAGAAACAGCGATATAAATGGAGCTTACCAACCAACCAACCGCTACGTTACGCGGTTGATACTACACCAACGGTGGCCGGTCCACGCGCCGCCAAGCCCCCCTCCCCTCCCTCAGCCTCCATTCAGCCACACACCGCTCGCCTCACCTGCTTTCCTAAAACCAAAACACTCGCCCGATCCAATTCCCCCCCCCCCTGGGACATTCCCGCTGCTGCGAATGCGCTCAAAAAAACACCTGCGTCTTATACATTCCACATACAGACATACATACTACATACAAGTGAACATTCTGCCGCAGCCACTGCCGCCTCCACGCCCTGCCAACCTCACCAGCCTGTTGTCGTACAGGCTATCGGGCCCGAGCGGATCTGGCGGGGGGGAGGGCGGCGGAGGGCGGCGCCGTGTGTTGTGACTTGACTGACAGCTGCTTGAACCGCTGGTCCACCTCAACGGGGTCCTGACCGCCGTCAATGGCCTTCTTGCGGGCCTTACGTTCCGCCTCAATCTCCACCACTGGGAAGCTCGTCCGGAAATCGCGCTCCTGTGTGCGGCACGAGCGAGCGAGCGAGGGAAACACGCAAATCACATACAAGAAGCAAAAAAGGGGGAAAAGGGAGGGGTCGGAAAAGGTGAGCAGGAATTCTATTGCCCTTCTTAAACGCCCCGCCTGCCACACACGCCCCGCCTGCCGTACACGCTTGTACGATACCCACCACCCATTGAATACCAGACACATACACACATGCGATGGGCGCTTTGTCCCCCCGTTCCCCTCCCCTTCTATCGTGCTCACCTCGGGATGCAGCTTGAAGAACGTCTCCACCTTGTCGTGTGCCACCCACGGCGGTCTCATGACGTAATACACACAGCCATCTCCCGGCGTGCTGCCCCAGAACTCCACCACCTAAGAGGGGCCGGGGGGGAGGGGGGCCGCATCCCGAGCACACAGAGACATTGAGCGGGAGGCGGAGGCGGAGTAAGGCTGTTGTGGTGGCAGTGATGATGATAACGATGGTGGTGGTGATGACGATGGTGGTGATGACGATGGTGGTGATGACGATGGCAATGAGGGCGCGCACGTTGACGGACAGAGCATCAGTAGATCCGTCCTGGACGCGACTTGTCCGTGCACAAGGAATTCACAAGTCTAGAAGTGTCCCTCCCACCTCCTACAGGGGCGTGCGAAGCCGCACACAAGTCGAGAGGAGTACACATAGGGCCCCCCACTGCCGTACTGAGTCGGGTCTAATCGGGTCGGGCAGCTCAGCTCAGCTCAGGCCGGGTCGCGTCGGATTGAGCAGTCAAGTGGGGTCGGGGGAAAGGTGGCGGGCCCCCCGCCAATATTCCACTCGGCACCCCGAGCCCCGGACTACACGGAGGTCACAGCGGCCACCGCCCGGCCGCTGCTGCCCTGCTTCCTCCCAGCCTAGCGCAACCCGGGCCGAGAGCAGAGTCTCCCTCCCTTCGACTCCTGTCTCTAAAACCCCCTCGTTCGGACCAGCCGCTGTGTCGGCTCTCGAATTGG